TTTGAACATATTAATGCCAACGATAGTTTTGATATGTGCTGAAATAAGATTATACAGCCGAGGATAAGTAAGAATACCACTAGTGTCCGACCGAAACTGGTTTTTACGACCGAAACCGAAAACGAATTTAGGCAACGGTCTCAGTTTCAGCCGAAACCGAAACTTCCTTACAAGGATTATGTTTTGAGGGAAAAATAAAGAAAAAGTTATTATAATCAGTCAGTCTTTATTTTTTTATCTTTAAATCACAACGTTATGCAGTCTTCGACGTTTTTACTTATTGACAATCAACATAACAAACCCTTATTTGAGAAAAAATATTAATTGAATCTTAAAAATACTTAAAATAGGTGAGGTGTTTATTTGAGTAGTTGTAGATCCTTCTTTTGAATATTGATGGGTTTTTCAAAAATATTAAACATTAAATTACTTATTCAAATTGTTACCTAATATCACAATAGGTACTTAATATTTATGTAATAAATATTAGGATTAGGCACGTAGACGTGGCAAAATGTCTTCGTGGCTTGTATGAAATTCAAGCGCCGAACAAGACCGATCACAGCGCGGGAACTCCCGAATGCAGTTTCGGTCGTAGTTTCGACAGGTTTGCCACCAAAACCCATTTTTTTTTTCGAAACCGAACTTTCGGTCGGACACTGAAGTGCTTTGATACAACTTTTATTTGTGATGTACTGTTTGGAACCTTTGGTGTAGTAAGAGGCAATTTAATCTTCCTCTTGAAGATGATCACTTGGTAATTTAAACACGCGTTGTGGTGTTAAAAATAATGATTTGGTGTTGGGATAAAATTCCAGTAATATTCACAACTTTTATTGCAATCATATTTTTTCAGTAATATGAAAGAACCTCCATTAATCATAAAGCTAACAATGTAAATGCAACTCCTACTGAATAGAGCAAAGACTTAATAACTGATAGAGCAAGTAGCCTTTTCATCAATTTTTTCCACTTGATACCTTGTGGACTACGTTAAAGGAAGCGACAATCTGAAGAACGGAGTAATGTATGCCTCAAATTACTCCACCCTTCACGATCTCTCTCTCCAATCTGAATTACTTACCATTGTTAGATATGAATAAGTAGGAGTATGTATTCAAACGTTACGAACTGGTTCCAAACTTATATATTTTGTTTGATATTTCAATTTCTAATGCAGGGTTATGCCTGCATTATGATATGGTTCAATGTTTATAAAATCTTCTATATTTTATGTATATTCTGTATTTGTAATATTGCTTCTCTTTGTTTCAGGAATTTCTGAGTGGATTATGACTAAATAAATTCCTTTATAATTTGTCTTTGACTCATTCCTTGATTCCCAAATAACCTACACAAAGACAGTTGTTTTGAGTAACAATCCTCTTTTATAATAATAATAAACGTCTTTATTACTACAATCACACAAAAAAAACAATATTAAGTTCTAACTACATATATACAGTTATAGTGAAAGACGAAGTTCAATTTTCGCAGCTTTGCAAATAACTGCTAAATTGCAAAGTTGAAAGTTTTGAGTCAACTTCTTACAGAGTTTATTTAAATCAACCTAGTGACACTCCCCTCGGCGAGGTGGGTGTGTATTGGATGCAACTGTTCTCATCGTCGAGGGAACAGAAGGTCACGCTGTCACAAGCATGTGCCAGCAAATTAAGACGTGTAGTGATAGTTTTATCTGTACGAGGTCTTCGAAAAATGAGATGAATTTTCATTTCTTTCAAAACGTATTTATTCTTCAGTTTTTATTTATGCCCTTCAAAGTAGTCCCCCTCAGATATAATACACTTGTGCCAGCGTTTTTTCCAATCCTCGAAGCAGTTCTGATATGCATTTTTTGTAAGTCTTTGAGCTCTCTCAGCGATTCGGTTTTTATCTCCTCAATCGTCGCAAAAGCCGTCCTGTCATGGGTCTCTTTAATCTTGGGAACAAGAATAAGTCGCAGGGAGCCAAATCTGGTGAATACGGTGGTTGAGGCATGATTACGATGTTTTTGACCAAAAAATTGTGAACAAGCAATGATGATTGATAAGTTCTATGCCTCTCACCAACAAACTAAACATGCGAAACAGCTGAAACTGAACAAATGTTCGAGATGAGTGTACAAACATAAAAAAATTACTATTTGAATGTATGTAGCCCGTGAAATTTGAATGTTCACCTTATTTTTTGAACATACCTCATTTGTCTGCCTTCTAAAGATGTGCCATGTAGACTCTTTTCAAAACAACCTAATAACATATTTCGTTCGTTCAAAGTAAACATTAGTTGAATAATTCAGTAGGTAATTCAGATTAACATTATCATGAAACACTTCCAAAAAATTGGCATTGTATTCGGCAAAAAATCCAGAAGAGATCTTTAAAAAAACATTTCTCAAATGACAATAATAATATCACTTTTGCAACTGAAATAGAAAATTTAAGACTGTGTATTGAGCCAAGCTTGGATTTTCCAGCCATGTAAGTAATTTTGCAAAAAGGTTATGAAACTTAGAAAATATTACACATTTTTTAAAAGTCGAATGTTATTCTTTGTAAAGTCATAGTATTGTCTCGGATGAATTATTGTGATATAATCTGCATTTCATTTGGAGATGAACCACGCAGTAAACTTTATACCCTGATGAAGTCAACTTGGTGTTGCAATTCTGGCTTGTGAGAGCAATATTCGTTTTGAAATAAATTGTTTATGAATATTGATGTTCAGTTATTCCTAAAATTAACGTTTTGTTACAATGGACAGAATACAAGAATTTTAGATGGGAAGTTCCATAGTTTGAATTTCTATGTAATAACAGTATTTCAAGTTGTGAAAGTTGTAGGCAGATATGAATGTAAGTCAAATCATAAAATACACTTGTTCTTATGATCAAATTTAATGCTCCAAGTTCTTAGTTCAGTTGAATATAAAACCACTAAAACAAAAAATCAAGAAAGTGGAATTAACCCAACCATAAATTTTTACCTCCTAACTTGATAAAATACAGTTTTCAGGTTCAGTTTTAATCATTTCCTGATGATGGGTTAGCGAAACGAGGATCGAGTGTTTAGATGTATAAGTTTCAATTAGATTCATTTTACGGTAGGGCTTTCAATTCTTCCTGTAAAATAGTTCAGGCTAGGTTTGTAATCTCTGTAAGTAAAGCTTGAAGAAGCTGTTGTCTAGCGAAACATGTTTTGATTTGTTAATGTGTGAAAATATCGAAGTTTTCAATATGTTAATCAATTATGTTGACTGAAGGTCTTGCTGAAGATTTAAAAAAAATGCTAGACAGGTTGGAAATAATGTCTTTTATACCAAAGAGTACTAATAATGATACAAAGCTTTCTCATAAAACTAGTGCTATTTCAGTTTATTTCTCTTTCATTTATGTATTGAAAAATATACTGAATGTGCACCAATTTTCACCAATGGAAAACGTTTTGAGTGATTGGAGTTTATATTTAGGTAAGAATCTTTACAATATTCATCAATATGTCAGTGATAATGACAAAACATGAAATATGGTATGTTATTTTTGAAGAAGACAGTTTTAAAGTAAATGTTACAGTGTTGAATTAAGTAACAAAATAGTGTACCCAGGGCCGAAGCGAAAAGAAAAACCAGGGGAGGGGAGGGAATCCAAATTTTCCCAACTCCACCGGCAAAATTTCCCAACTTTCGAAGAAATGAAAGCCGAAGGATTAGTTACTACTATAATATATTAATTTTCTTACTTAGCTATCCAAAGATTGGCTGAATGCTTATGCCTGTTAGGGTATGCACAAACAAAAATAAATTTTGGTGATTATAAAAATAATAATGGGAATTATTCTACCTTGGGACCAAGGTCGTTAGTCTTCCACCATGTATAGAAATATTCAGTACAAATGAAAGGAAACAATACTTAAATAATATTGTGCTTATTGTTTTCTACTATAATTTTTTTCTATCTTCACGGCCCGAAATTTCCCAACTTTTCCAAGTCGGAAAAACAGCGAAAAGTTGGGAATTTTGTAAAATTGTCTCTTCAAAATTTGTGGACTATTCAGGACTGTTTTCTTACTTTGGGAGAAATTAAACTTTTTTGAATGTTTCAAACAACTCGGAATTCTCTTCAAGTTATGCATGTTGGGAAATCCCAACCTTCTCCTGGTTCTTTTCCTTTTATTATTACCTCTCCTTTTCTTTTCTCATTTTTATTTTTTAAATTTGTATTCATTTTTTTACTATTTTTTTTATCTTCATGGTCCAAAATTTACCAACTTCTTCCCAAGTCGAAAAAGCAGGGGGGGAGGCTCACCCCATCCCCTCCACGGCAACGGCCCTGAGTGTACCCACTTTTTTCTTTCTGATCGGCTCGGCCTTTACTTGAAGATCCATAGTAATTTCACAAACTACATCTAACGATTTGATCTTAACTAACACAAGGACACAGATTACATCTGTGATAAAGGTGTAGTTTATGTCATTAACCTCGTATTCTGGATAGACTATCTTAATAACTCCCCGAACCTCCTAGGGAGCATCATGGTTATTCGCAGTTCCGTCAACTAAGTAACAAAGCAGAATTAATTTAACTAGAAAAATTCTAACAAGAGAAATATCAGATCAAAGTTGGGTTCGACCTTAGGATCCCAGGGTAGAAAACCGTGTCAATTCGCTACTAGTTGCATTATGTTAATAATGCAACGTACTTAGTCTTCTGGAGAGATAAATGTTTACATATGAGAAAGTAATTTCCCTGCAATTCAATTTCCACGTAGGAAGTACCTAACTTTGTATACATAGAAAATATATGGTATTTCATTTTTTTTATTGCCTAAAGATATTCAGAAATTAATTATTCGCGTCATCTATGAATAATAAGTGTATAATAGTTAGGAAAATATGGAAAGGAAACTGTCAGTTATACCTAACAGGTTTCTTCGTTATGTTTGTTTAGCTCAAATAAGTGCTGTCCTCTAGTGTTGCCAGCAGTATTTCGGTTTTGAAATTTGTTGAACAGTAGACAGTTGCCAAATATAGTGGTTTAAAATAAAAGATGGCTGAAAGTAGTGGTAGTGTAGTGTCAAATAGCGTAAATTCACATAAACAATCAACTAGTGAGCAAAGTACGGAATCATCGAAGAACCTTGTTCAGAAAGGTTAGTTAAAATTAATGTGTTTCAACAATTTCTCCCATGGTTCAATATTTTGACAGATGGTATTTTTACAGTATTAACTGCTAAGGCGCTAATGAATTGAATTTTGTCATGCTGACTTTCACTTTAACGCTCCCCTCGACTTTGATTCAAACAGTGGCCTAACTCCCAAGATATAATTTTTGAAAATATGTAATGAAATAGAGGTTATGATCCAAAAATGACTCATTCTGAACCTATGTTGCAATGGCAATAACGATTCACCCATTATTGGCACGTGGGTAAACCCTACATTTCCCAAAAAATTACAACATGAACACCTTTTAAACTCATTTTCCGGTTGTTTGCCAACACTATGTTTATGTTTTCCTAGTTTTCTCAGTTTCCTCTCGTGCAAATCAACAGGTTGTTTTCATCCATGTTAGAGTGCGCTGGCGTAGGTCCACTGATGAGTGTTTGAATTTCCCGGAATTAGTGAAGTGTTATCAGTAAAATTGTCAACACAGACTTTTATTTCAGTGATGGAACCGACACCGTTTTGCTTGGACGACTATCGTGGCGAAGAAAAGCCAAAAAGCCTCGAAAATGTTTTGTCATTTATACAAGAAACTGAACCAGATGCAACGAAAACTGATGTTCTGGTGGGCCTTATATACATCTTGATGCTGGAAACTGGTTTTATGCCCAAAAATACAGAGGAGCCCTCTAGGAATGATTATGATTTCAATTTATCAGTGGTGATCCACCTTTCAAAACGGCTGCCAAGAGGCTGGAAGCAAGATAAATTATACAGGATGTCTTTTACATTGCCAACTTATGAACGACATATATGTACAGTTATTTGTTTCAATTCGAGCGACGAGCTTTTGGTCAATTGTATTGTGGATGGAGTTGAAGAGAGAGAATTATGTTGCTACTTGGACCCCCTTCTCTACTTCTCACATTCAGAAAATAATCTGAGGAATCTCCATTTACAAAATCTGCACGGTTTTTCAATGAAGGTGAAAAATGAAATTTGCTATCCTGCTCAACAATTCATATTAAGATTCAATAATATCAGAGTTAGTTGTGTGGAAGCCTTGCCTACAGAAGTGATAATAGTTTTGATGAAATACCTGAAAACAATTGATTTTATTGCGTTCGGATCAACCAGTAAGGATTTCAGGAAGTTTTTGGATTCCAACATAACATGGATTCGACGAATTGAGAGAGATTTTGGAATAGAGTTAACTGATGCGCAGAAGAAGTTCAATATGAGTAACTTTATATGTCTCTACAAAGAGACTTATTGCCAAAAAAATGGATTTAATCGCCACACATATTCAGACTGCCCATACCGGACAAGTCCACGTCATCGAAGATGGAGGTGAATTGTTCTGTACATTTTTCAATACTTCCGAGTCCGAGTTTCAGAAATATTGTGAAAATTCTGATTTTGAAATTTCTTGTTGAGAGAAATACTTCACGACAATAATAGTGAGATTTATGTTAGTGAGAATTTGATTATGATAATTTCAAATAATTGTTTCCTATGTTTTCTTGTTAAACTCCTAGAATTAGTGAAAACGTGCAATTTTTCACAATTTCGAAATTTTATCCATTGAATCAGACAATTTCTAATTATGTCAATTTTTTGTACACATCTACACATCCTTTTTTTTCATAGACTCCTCAGTCTCATCACTACATTTTTTCTTTCGTTTACCGGTATAATGAACTGTTAAGATCCCAAGAAAACATAGATTTTGTAAAAAATTATAACTTGAAAATTTTTAGATTTATTTATATTTTCATATTAGAGTGACACAGTTATGTACGTAGTTTTTATAAATACTAGTTTTCTCTTTTTGTCTTAACATATTTCATTAAATGGTAACTTATAGGCTAGGCTGTTGACTTTTTTTATGGACAATGTAAATGTACAGTTTTGCTATATTAATTTTTTTATATATTCATCAATGTAATATTATTCATTCAGTACTTACATGCTATTTTAACCTAACTAATGATGTTTTGTAACTAATGATGATGTTTTGTATTTTAGATTTACACGTAATAAACCAAAGAAATTAAACTCTTGTGATTGTAGCTCGTAGTATGTTAAATGTAAGTACTTATTTATTTTGAGAGAGTTTAAAAAATTGAATAAACATTTTTGAAAGTTTCAATTGTTTTTCTAATTCAAAATATGGATTTTTGATAANGTCATATCGTAGGGCCACTTTTTATTCCTGGGAATTTAACTGGTGAGGTCTACCTGAACATGCTTGAAGATACAATTGATCCTCTCATAACAGAAATAATTGAAAATGACCAAAATCATAATGATGATCGGCTTCATTTCCAGCAAGATGGAGCACCTCCTCCGGTAAGAGAGTTTTTAGATGACCGGTTTCCTGGACGGTGGATTGGAAGGAGAGGCCCTATCGAATGTCCTGCCAGGTCACCTGATTTATCGCCTTTAGACTTTTTCTTTAGGCGACACTTGAAAAATAAATGTTTTGCTACGCAGCCCGAGTCCATAGAAGATCTTCGCCAACAAATTACAGCAGAGTGCAGAAGTATTATCACCTGATATGCTACAGAATGTTAGGAATAAATTTAAACAAAATCTGTATTATTGTATGGAAGCAAATGGGTCACATTTTCAGCACTTGCTGAAGTAGGATTCTACTAAGTCAATTACACATTTCAAAGTACTGGGTTGTAGTTGTTTTTCTTCATAATACCTACATGTTTGAGTGAAATACAACAAATTAGGTATCATTGGAAAGATAATTTTGTGCCCTTTCAAATGATATATCACTCGACCCCAGTTTCCATTTGAAATTTTAGGGTTGTTATTCACCCTCGCTAGGAGGTTGAAGGCACAGGTAGAAAAATACATCTAGCGATTGGCTGCATAAGTGAAACTAGCACAGATAACATTTCCTAGAAGTCCGTGCTTGATACGGGGTTGCCAGAATAAACTTTCAGGAGATTTTGCGACTGTTACACCTTATCCCGTGTTTCAACCTGTCCCGGTCTCCCCTACCTTGTAAAACGAGCGCGTCGTCATTTCATTATTTTCTAACATAGTGAAACATACACGTCCTCGATTACCCTGCGTCCGTGATTCCCCCACCTTCCCCTACTCAAAATTCCGGCCTCAGTCTAGGTATTCAAATTTATGTCTTGGAAACCCTACTTTGAACTCAATTCTGATATCAAACATTACCAAGGTCAATTTTTCCAATGGAATATTGTGTTTCTCCATAAAGTATAATGTAAAAAATGAAAAAGACATGTTTAGCAATAAGCGCATCTTCTTTCCGGTTAGGCCAAGAACAACTGAGAGTGAGCGAGAGAGAGAGAACCATCTCTGTCGTTCATGGTTTGAAAGAAAACATGAGAAAACGATGAACCAATGAAAGGAAAATCAGCCATTTTCAGTTTTAACTTTTTCCTGAAATCATCAATATTATCTTATCTTGGTTTTATGTAATAATTCTTGTTATCAATTTCAGATGATGAGCCATCGACGGACACTTTACTACAAAGCCCTCCGCAGGCTACTAGTGCCGGTACTACTGGACCTATTTTAGATCTCAATTTGAACAAAACCAATGGCGAAACAAGTAAGTACCATTCTTTATATTGTTGGACTTTCGTGATGAATGAAATAAATAATTTTCACGAGGGAATTCTCCAACCAGAGATGACAAATGAATTTCGTGTTTTAATTAGTACGTGATATGTATAAGTCATACGTTTCTTTTGAGTTACTGGGCGCTTAGAAATGACTCGTGTCTGATTCTTCAAATTGGCTATTAGTAAGGTCATATGTAGAACTTATCAACCAAAACTTCTGATCCTGTATAATTCCAGATATATTCTTAATGTGGCTCCTCGAATGATGTATATCACATATGGATGGAATGTGATATACGAGGTCTGATCGAAAAATAAGGTGAATTTTCATTTTTCTTAGAAATATTTATTTATTTATCAATTTATATTTTGTCTTCTTCAAAGTAGTCCCCTTCAGGCTTTTTTCCAATCCTCGAAGCAGTTCCGATATGCACTTTTTTGTATGACCTTTAGATCTCTCTGCGATTCAATCGTCGCAAAACGATGTCCTTTTATGGATCTCTTCAATCTTGGAAATAAGAAAAAATCACAGGGGACCAAATCAGGTGAATACGATGGCTGAGGCCTGCCTTTGGTGTTGTTTTGGCTAAAAAATTACGAACAAGCAATGACGAGTGAGCAGGTGCATTATCGTGATGCAAAAGCCATGAATTTTTTTTTTCAATTTAGAAAAAACCGCATCAGCCGTAGCTATTAGCGGCAAACATATAAAATATATCTAAAACATGCAGTTGTTCACATTACAGTATAAATAAAAGGTTACATTCTTTAAGAAATTCAACAATATTGTTGGTATTGGTATTTTGGAAAATTTCACTTAGTTCGGAGGAAATTTTATTGTTCAGTCTCTCAACTGTGAAGAGCGGGCACCAGAACATGCTTAACAGTCACAAGCACTTCACACGCGAAACATTTTGGTGGCGGTTCTTTAGATGTTCATGCGTAAGGCGAGTGTGTAATCTTGTAATTATGACTTGATGAAAGCGGTTTGTTGCTTTGTTGTTCCAAGGATATAATGTAGCCTTGATTTCCTTAAGTTTGGAAGGTGGTGATTCCACATTTCTACAATTTTGCAATGGAAATAGGATTTTAGATCTATCGGCAATGCTTCATACTGAGATTACATGCTGGATGTTCTACAGCTTCTCTGGCAATTTTATCGGCTATATCGTTTCCAGAAATCCCAGTATGTGAAGGAACCCATAGGAGGGTTACTGTCCTGTTATCTAGTTGTTTCATCTCCTCTTTAATCATATTTACCAGTACGTGATGGGTATATATTTTCGACAAAAAATTAACGGAGTTGAGAGAGTTCGTAATTATCAAAAACTCTTTACCAGGTGCCATTTTAATGAAGGAAATAGCTTTATAGATGGCATGCAGTTCTCCAGTGAGAATAGTGGCAGATTCATGTAAAGAAAATTTACAGGCGGTTTCGTTACGAATGCACATCCTACACCACGAGTTGTTTTTGAGGCGTCAGTGACAACTCGTGGTTGTAGGATGTGCATTCATAAAAGCCATGAATTGTTTTTCCACAATACCGGACGTTTACTTCGTATTGCTTCTCGCAAGTGGCACAACTTCAAGATAATATTCCTTATTGACTGTACGGCCATGTGGCAAGAATTCCTGATGCACTACGCCACGGTTAACGAAGAAAACAGCAAAGCCCTAACATTTGATTGAATTTCGCGAGCTTTTTTGGTCTTGGCTCTCCTGGACGCTTCCTTTGGTTTGGTGCATTTCTTTGATATCCTCCCTCTTTTTATTTTTTGAACGGGTCAACTCAAAAAATTGAAATTTAGGATAATGAAATTAACGCATGAATACTTTATTTAGAAGTGAAATTGACAGATGAACATAATGTCACATAATTTTGAAGCTCCCGACGAATACTTCACAATCCTAGAATATGAAGTCAATATCTTCACCTACTACGAAATGGCGGAACTTTTAGTAGTTGCCTGAATATATTGACATTTAACTACGTAATATGAGGTAATAAGCTTGAGGTCAGTTCAGAAGATGCTTGAAATGGTTGCCTTGAACTTCTTGACATATGAACAGCCTATCCAATATTTCACGCCGAACGTTTTCGAACACAAATATTTATTATTCTCTGCCGTATATCCAATATTGAAGCATGTTTAGTTTCGTACACTTTTTGTTTCAAATAGCCCCATAAAAGAGTCCAAAGGTGTCAAATCTGGCGAGCGGGCTGGCTATTCTGTAGGACCTCCATGGCCTATCCAACGACTGGACAAGTAGTATCCAAATAATTTCTTACTTGTCTGGTAATGTGGTGGCGCTTCATCTTGTTGGAATACAATATCCATATCGAATTCATTAGAATTCGCTTCGACGATTTCACTGATGAGAGGGCCAACAGTAGTTTCCAGCATATTCAAATACAGTTCCCCTGTTGAATTTTGATTAATAAATAGATATCCTACAATATGGTTTCCCAATATTCCTGCCCAAACGTTAATTTTTTCTGAATATTGGGATTGGATTTTGTCTATGAACATTGCCGTTTGAAAAAATGTACATTCGCCACTAAAACAAATATTGTGGAGATAGGTAGGAAGCCTTTCAATGATTTTCGCCATGATTTCGAAGAATTCTTTTCTTCAATCAGGGTCATCTTGAGTTAATTGGTGTACCATTTTAATTTTCCATGGATGATACCTACTCCTCTTCAAAAGTCTCCGCACAGTAGAAGGAGACACCTCACTAATATTCGCGACCGAATAAGTAGACTGTTCAGGATTTACTACCGTCTCAGAAATTATTTGGACTTGCTGTTCTTCCGGAATGGACAGATGACCTTGGGACTTTTTGTTATATACACTACCGGTAGTTGTGAATTTGGATACAAGTTCCCTCAAATATTATGTGCAGATAGGACGATTCGGAAAACGTTAATTGAAAATCCTTTCGGTCTCGTGAAAGTTACGCGTCGCGCCGTAAATAAAAATCGCTTCAATTTTTTCTTCCAATGGACGATAATTGACCATTTCAGAGATTGTTGACGTGGTACCTTTCTACTAGTAAAACCGAAAACTAAATGAGAATATTCTCACTGAACAATGACATTTTTTGTCGTTTTCATAAACAAAAAATAACTTAATGAACGTTATAGGGTTGTTGGAATTGCCATATGGCAGATAAAAAGGAATATTTCTAGAAATATCGATATTAATGTGTTTGTCGTCAGGAAATTATTAAATGTTTCGCCATTTTCTAGTAGGTGAAGATATTGACTTCATATTCGAGGGTTGTGAAGTATTCGTCAAGAACTTCAAAATGATGTGCCACAAGACCCCCCTTTCAATTAATTTTTCCCCAGATGGCGCCCAGTCGCCATCTTGAAAGTTTCATCGGCCAATTTCACTTCAAAATAAAGTATTCATGCATCAATTCCATTATCACAAATTTCAATTTTCTAAGTTGACCGTGGAAGAAATAAAAGGGGGGATATTAAAGAAATGCACTGTTTACCCATGGTAGACAGTGCATTTCTTTAACAGTGCAT